ACATGTAGGTAGATCATACTTACATCCACGAAGATGACACTTACATGTTGGTGGATGATACTGACATCTTCGGAGATGATGCGTAGATGTAGGTGGATCATACTTACATCCACAGAGATGATGCTTAGATGTAGGTGGATCATACTGACATCCACGGAAATCATACTTAAAGGTAGGTGGATCATACTTACATCCACATAGATCATACTTACACGTAGGGAGATCATACTTACATCCACGAATCTGATGTGTACATGTAGGAGGATCATACTTACATCCACGAAGATGTTGCGTACATGTTAGTGGATCATACTTACATCCACGAAGATGATGCGTACATGTAAGTGGATCATACTTACATCCACGAAGATGATGCGTACATGTAGTTAGATCCTTCTTACATCCACACAGATCATACTTACATGTAGGTAGATCATACTTACATCCACGAAGATGACACTTACATGTAGGTGGATCATACTTACATCCACGAAGATGATGCGTATATGTAGGTGGGTGATACTTACATCCACGAAGATCATACGTACACGTAGGTGGATCATACTTACATCCACATAGATCATACTTACATGTAGGTGGATCATACTTACATCCACGAAGATGACACTTACATGTAGGTGGATCATACTTACATCCACGAAGATGATGCGTATATGTAGGTGGGTGATACTTACATCCATGAAAATCATACTTACATGTAGGTGGATCATACTTACATCCAGGTAGGTCATACTTACATGTAGGGGGATCATACTTACATCCACATAGGTCATACTTACATGTAGGTAGATCATACTTACATCCACGAAGATGATGCGTACATGTAGGTGGATCATACTTACTTCCACGAATATGATGCGTACATGGAGGTGGATCATACTTACATCCATGAATATGATGCGTACATGTAGGTGGATGATACTTACATCCACGAAGATGATGCGTACTTGTAGGTGGATGATACTGACATCCACGAATCTGATGTGTACATGTAGGTGGATCATACTTACATCCACGAAGATGTTGCGTACATGTTAGTGGATCATACTTACATCCACGAAGATGATGCGTACATGTAGGTAGATCATTCTTACATCCACACAGATCATACTTACATGTAGGTAGATCATACTTACATCCACGAAGATGACACTTACATGTTGGTGGATGATACTGACATCTTCGGAGATGATGCGTAGATGTAGGTGGATCATACTTACATCCACAGAGATGATGCTTAGATGTAGGTGGATCATACTGACATCCACGGAGATGATGCGTAGATGTATGTGGATCATACCTCTTCGTTCAAGAGACTGAGTTTACTGAATCGTAATCTATAAGCTGCAGCTATAGACTGACAATCCGGAAATCAGGAGACTTACATATAAACTGGAATTATAAGCGTGAATATGTTGTGAATGTTTTACTCGCATAGAATCTTTTCAGGACCAAATACAAATTGTGCTTATTGCGTTCATGTTGTCATTCCTACCCTTGAAGGTCTGGGTTAGAATATTGATCTTCAATAACCCATGCTTGTCGTAAGAGGCGACTAACTGGATCGGGTTCGAAGACTTGGTTGCCACATCCCAATTGCGCAGATCGATGCTGATGCTCTTGATCACTGGATTGTCTGGTCCAGACTCGATTATTTACAGACCGCCACCATATAGCTGGAATATTGCTGAGTGTGGCGTAAAACTAAACTCACTCACTCAATCACTGTTATTCCAATCACATTTCGCAGTTTCACAAATATGGATATACTGTGATAACTCTAATGTTGTGATCGTTAGGGTCACATCAAAGGGAATGGCAAAATCCAAGTGTCAGGACACGATCAGCCACTATGTGACACAAAACCCAGTAATTGACAGTTCACTTAAGTTAATCAGATGGACGAGTGGACGCTGAACTGCTTTACGTCGATTCCTGAATGTTTCATAAGCCAGCTCAACAAAATCAGAAAAATACCGCTCTTTTCTGAATTTCAAAATGTGCAAACAAATAATAACGTACAAGATATTATTGATTTAGAATACATTATGCATTGACACACCAATAACAATAACACACAAGACCAGACTTGATGGTATGTCCATTCTTCTTTCGTGATGGATTCCAAACCTTTATTGTTTGCAGTTTTGCTATCGTAGTAAAAGAACGAAGTTCATTTTTGTGTCAAAACATTTTATTTATTGCACTATTTAACATTATTCGATAGTAATTCATAAACACATGTTGATGATTAATTAAAATCGTACGACAAACTGAATATTGATTGGTTTTATGATTATGTAAAGTATTTCGTCGTTTTAATGTATGTGGAATCTTATCAGAATTTATTTACTCTCAGATTACAAAGACGTCATTTCGCGAATAGGTACTAGAAATAATACGTGATTGTCATATTTTCATTTCCAGACAAAGGATTGGATTTATATAGGAATAGCCCACCAATTCCAAGTGTACACAATTACACATATGCTTGTAAAATTCACAGGCTCTCACAGTCGCACATTTATCTGAGTCAGACTCATACTTGAATCTCTGTTACAGAGATTTCATCAAATGGAAGCCTGGACACTCTAATCACTAATCAAGCGGAGACGGAACCGGCTGTGCGCACATCGGTCAGTACGTCCTGCCCCGCAGGAAACATCCGTTGTATTAGCTCTATCACCGGAAGTTGGTGTAGTAATTAATGCATCCCAATATTCTGGTACACACACCTCTAAAAGTACTGCAAATGAAGAATAAACGCTGTTAGATGATTGACTAATAACACAGAATGAACATTTTAACTCGCACCACTGATAAAACCACTCTTCAGCGTATACAGTTCGAACACTACGTGACCGCCTCCGTGGTGTAGTGGTTAAAGCGTCCGCCCGGAGAGCGGAAGGTCGCGGGTTCGATCTCCGACCGCGTCGTACCAAAAGACGTTAAAATATGGTACTTGTTGGTCCCTGCCTGGAGCTCGGCATGCACGTCGTCATATGAGCGAAATATTCTCAAGCACGACGTTAAACCCAATTTCACCTCACCTCGAACACTACGTGTCGGCACCATTCTACGCAATTCACATCAGAGTTTTCTTCCGATATGATACCTCTCTGCATAACGGCCAGTGAACGTGCAAATCATCCCATCAGTGTCGGGGCCTTTGCTAAAGGTAAAAGCATTCATACCAGCATATTTAATTTCTGTCCTTCAAAACCAAAGTAAATCAGAAAGGTTGTGCCATTCTATTTTCTGGATATGTTATCCTCCCTATCGTCACTAAGTGCCATGGCATTCCGTTCAAAATCGACCTCCACTCCAAGAAAAGTTCTGTTCTGTGGAATTATTCGTATTGATTGAAATACTTTTCTAAATAACGTTACCCCATCTCAGTCATTCACTCGCTGTAATTGCCGTCAGTTGGTTGAAGTGTTGAGAATAACGTATCATAATTATGTATATTAATTTTCTGTCGACATGTTCTGTCACCTGTATGTTGACTACTGTTTCTGCCATCTTAATATACAGGCAGACAGACAGACCGATATAGTTTATTATTGTGGCACAAGTTAAGTACTCATTGTAAAAACATAAAATATCCTTAACAAACAGCCAATTTTTGGCTTATGAGACACTTTACAAGATAAAACTGTACATAATAGACATAGAAACATTATATGTATGAAATAGTAATGGCACATAGTGAAAATATTAAATAAATAATTGTAAGAATCATAAAAATAATTGCCTTCTAAAAAAACTATTTGTATATAAATATATGTCATCTTCCTTAACCAGGCTAATTTAATGTGAAAAAAGTGCTGCACCGCTGCTTAAGTGTGCCGTTACGTTCGGTTAACTGTCAGCTCGGACCTCACACTCCTCACAGTTTGATCTGTTGAAAGAAACCACACATCAATTACGAAGTTCATTATTTCTGAGAAGTCGGTCGAGCTTAACGCTGTCTGGCTGTTGGTAGACGTTGTTGTACAGCCGTCGATGTAATCACCCTTTATCCTATGGAGTTGTGTGCATGTGTGTGTTAACGATAACAATGTCTCATGACGCGAGTCAAACTCTTTTATTGCTTCATCAATTCTTATCATTGCTGTCAAGTCAGGAATTCGTTGTATGATTGTTTATTTATTCCGTATACTTAGACATAATTTCCATGGAACACCGTGTATCCAATATATACGTATTTACATTAACAACAGCACCACCTGTACAATATATATTTTGAAATTATAATTTATTAGAATACTAAATATAATTATCAGTATTGTAACAGTGATATTATGATTGCTTAAACAAGTTTGAATGTTAAGCAATATCACGGCGGGGTACATTTGAAATGGGCTTCACACATTGTACCCATGTAGGGAATCGAACCCAGGTCTTCGTGTTTGTTATAAATAAGTATTTTTATGGAAGACAAAGGTTTTGCCATACATGTACAAAGTATGTTGATGGCAGTGTATAATTTTCGAACAAACAAATGCTGTTTCATGGCAAATTTCTAAAGAAGTCAAAACTTGATCACACCGGTGAAATATTTTACTTGTGTTTCAAATGTTGTGTTTGCATTCGTCTTGAACGACTATTCTGATTCAAGGACTTTCCCTAGTGACACAAGTACTGAGGCCATGCATGTCTCTTCTTCCACAGACTTTCAAACAAATTTTATAACTTTCATATATAATAAAACAATTTAACGTAATAGTAATCTGTTCTTCCTCGTCGTTATTAAATATATAATTTATTGGGGACACCATTACACGCAGTTAATGTCCATGACGTCTTTCAATCCTCAAGGTATTAAATCATGCCCTCAGCCCATAAATTCAAAGTTCAAAGTACATAATTGTTGTCAGCATTTCCAGAGTGTTTTGCTATGTTTTCAATAGACTGACCCAGATCTACTGTGTTTTACGGGAGATAACTCTCTAAAGAGTCTCGACATACTCAGCCCTATGTTCTGTTGATAACTAGTGACCCGGATACACGACGCACCTAGATTAGACAGGTGACAGTTGAACAGCGGCTTAATAATGGGGCTCTCTTTCCCAGCACTCCTGGTCCTGTTGGTCAGTGTGACCAGGTAAATACTTACAAAAATGTATCTAAGTAGCTATGGTATTGCCATTCTATCGACTAATGCCCTTCGCGGTCGACTAAACTCTATTCTATTGACTAATGCTGACGACTGAAACCTTGTATTTCTGTCTTGTCGACAGGTCACGTTGGACACCTTGATATATCTATTCTTTAGGGGCGGTGGGGTAGTCTAGTGGTTAAAGCGTTCGCTCGTCACGCCGAAGACCCGGTTCGATTCCCCACATGGGTACAATGTGTGAAGCCCATTTCTGGTGTCCCCCCACCGTGATATTACTGGAATATTGCTAAAAGCGGCATAAAACTAAACTCACTCAATAGATTATGCGTATGTGGATAGTCCAGGTATTAATGTTCTATGGACCAAATCGACATCTTCGTAGCCAGCTGGTTACATATGCCACATCATAATGCACTCATTTTACCAGAGTCGGTCTTATTTGCTTATCATAGGACCCCACTATGCCCTCATTTCAGAAAAAATACAGCTCTGGATTACACATGTTCATTTGCAGTTCACAAATACAAGACATATCTTGTCACCAGATGCATAGACAATATTAGCAAAGTGTGTCGTAAAACCCTTTACCTCGGGCGTGTGATATAAGCACTTTTTCTGAACGTTACACAATTATAGTGTTTTGAGCAACTATGCATCTCACCCATGTTTAAGGTTACATAGAAGTAGTTAAGGTTATTGTCCATATTTGCATAAAACGGATCGTGTTTCCAAATTCAGCAGATTGGATTTTCTCATCGATAGCACTATTGATAAAGTCAAAGATGAGCAAGATAAGTCATGAAGCCAAAATGTGTCTTTTTTCGTAAGTAGAATACTGTGTCTCGAAGCTATATTTTACATACATTGTACGCTCTTTATAAACATTATGAAAAGAAAGGAGCTTATGACACTACCCTCACCCAAACTAGCAAAGTCAACAAAACTCGACTTAAGCATACCCTGACCTACCGCCATTGAAAAAATTAGCATTATTCCAGCTATATGGCAGCGGTCTGTAAATAATCGAGTCTGGACCACACAATCCAGTGATCAACATCATGAGCATCGATCTACGCAATTGGGATACGATGGCATGTGTTAACCCGACCCGATCCCGCTAGTCGCCTCTTACGACAAGCATGGGATACGGCAAATCAATTCGCACCCGGATATTCTCGGGCTGCTTCGTAAATGAACAACACACAAAAACACACCAATAATGGTAATTGAAAATTAAGTGGATAGTACCTGCATCGTTCCGTAACAACCTTTACCATGAAATTAATGGGATGACGTGTCTCTTCTTTCAATGAACCTTCAGCAGCAGCAGCTCTTACCCACGACCATTACAACCTGAAGAAACAACTGATCACTTCCTAGCTGGGGCCCTACTCAGTTACTCTGTCAACCTGACTGGCTGCAAGGTGGTGTCCCAGACATCCCCTCCCATCAAGACCAACGACTTTGGAGACGACATCAGACACGGCCGCTACGTCATGTACGGCCCCCTTAACAACCTCACGTTCTGGAGACAGCGTTTTGTGGATGACAAACACGCCACAAGAAGTGGTGGGTAGCATGTTCTGAATTAGCATTATGCATTTCTTCTGCCTTTATTAAGTTATCATAAACATGTTTATGTCGCAGACAATCTCAAAGAGATTCAAATTGGTATGGCAATAATATAATTTGAAGGTTATTTTAACAATGCTCGAGTTTATTCTTGTTTTCATAATCTGTTCTAAGGCCCCACGTCCCGCCTCACTGGCATCCAGATGGACGCCACTGGCTACGCTTACGTCTACATACACGACTATGACCCGAAGACGTTGACCAGATTGGCTTATCTACACATGGAGTGTTGGGCCATGACAGGTATATTCGACATTGCGTATCATAACGTCTTAAGTTCTTTTGTTGTAATGAGAAGACAGACAGATGTTTATTCACGTACAGGAGCCACCAGCCTATTATAGAGATACAGAGCATGATCAACACTGTTTCACATGAAACGAACAAGACTTAATAGTACAATGACGGTATTTGGATAGAAGCAACGCAATCAATCAATACAAGATGTAGCTATACGACAGATATTTCTTCGAAAGTGGAATTACGCTTCTTCAAACGAGAAACACGTAATTTGCAAGGTATTTACAGATATTACGTTTTTTACTGGAAAATAATGAAAGCATTTGTCAAGAGTTGGAAAGGTGATAATATTGAGGAAGCATGGAGCACAATTGTTGCAAGAAGTGGGCACAAAACAAAAGTGGTATTAATCCTCAGTTGTTGGGATAATACGCATTGGGCATAAACGTTCATATCTTGGTACTTGGTACTATCTGCTCGTTTCTAAAACAAGACTGTCTTTTAATTTAAATTTAATAAAATTATAATTTGAAGTATTTGAGCAGCTGAGCTGGATATTGGCGCTATGCAGATATTAGCATAATAAACAAGTGGCTTCCACAGCTTCGTTTGTCCAACAGGACGGTCCGAAATCCCCGCGATTGGCCAGACGACCTATCAGACGTCGGTTGTTATTCCAAGAGCACGAAGCAGCACGACGGGCTTGATGTCAAGCTCGACGCCACTTGAATTTAACAGCATGGGGAAGGGCGCACTCGTCGGACGAAAGTCTATTACTTTTGTTCATGACAAAATTGTGTTTGGCGCCGCAGAAACACTGCATATGTACAACAGAATAGCTTGGAGCAAGTACCGTTAGGCGGGGGTTCATTGATGGTGAGGTTCTTCTCACATGACTGTAAAGTTGACCTTATGACGATCAGACAAAATCTGAATGGACAACGGTTCATCACTGACATCCTGGACAGGGTTGTTGTGCCACATTTCTATAAACATCCTCTGAAACACAAAGCCAGCCTTCATGGACGACATTGCTAGGCCACATCTTCCACGTACCGTTGGTGATTTCATGCGTAATTTAAAGGCGAGAGCAACTCGACCTTGGCCCGCCAAGAGTTCAGATCTCAATCCCAGAGGACATGCTAAAAACGCCAACGAAATACTCCAGTACAAAATCTTGCTATTGAAACAGGCCCTCCATCAGGAATTGAACGCAATACCTGAACGTCAATTTCAACGTCCATTACAGTCAATGAGGAGTCAGATATTATTGCATTTGGCAGAGGTTACACCAGATACTGAAGTTGTGCTCAGTTATTGATACTTATGTCATTTCTTGAGGGTTATGTGCCAGAATCTTGTCGAAAACGACCGCCCTTATTAATGTCATACGGCCATAGTTATCAACACTTCAAAATGAGTCATGCTTTTCTTTTATAAATAAACTATAGTTTTTCGTTCTTTCTGCGTTCGTATTTTGCTATTTAATTATTCCTTGAGGGTTAATTGTCACCAGATAGTAAGTTCAATTAAGGTTTGGATAAGTTCTTTTGTTATGATTAATTGAAACATATTGATACCATGACAACCATGGCGTGTTGCGATACCTTTCTCCATGTGTATATTTCAGGGTTTACTCCAATTGCTCAAACGCCTAAAGGAAAACAATTACCCTTTGATGACATCAAAGCAGAGTTGCTGAAGGGATCTCTGCTCTCGTACAGCATCTACACCACATATTGCGAACCCAGGCCCAAGAACTATACCCACCTATATGTGGATGCTGGGCCTATTGATGGTGAGTATGTTCTGCTAAGTGATGGAAAGATTCTGTCATTTGTTAATGATGAGGATATTTCTTGGGACAACCGTAAAGCGACCTCCGGTTTATTACGATGGATGTTGTCAGTAGGACCTGAGTAGAATGGTAACTGTTTTCACTACAGCTGATGTCATCAATGAAAAGCGGTTATTATATCTGTGTGTTATTGTTACACGTTTCTGCATCCGTTCCGTCTCTGGGGTTTTGTGAATTGCTGTGATGCCAAAGCAATAGCGTTTTTGTTTAAGAACCAAAACCTCAAATATTGCGGAAGGACTGAAAGTTCCGATCATATCCTAAGACATAATAGTGCATAAGCCCCATAGGTAAAATACACAGACACTTCTGCTCAGGTACTACCTGATAAGACCTGTTAAGATCCGGGTTTGAATTGGTCTTCAGCAACCGATGCTTGTCGTAAGAGGCGACTAACGGGATCGGGTGGTCAGGCTCGATGACTTGTTTAACACATGTCATCGTATCCCAACTGTATAGAGCGTACCTTACGATATTGATCACTGGCTTGTTTTGTCCAGACTCCATTATGGACTAGACAAACAAACAAACTACCTGATGGCTAACTGGATGTTAACGACGTTTCAGAGTATCGACTGGACCAGGACGGCAGCGTCGTTTTCACCTACCGGGTTGTGGACAGTGACTTATCAATGGATATCATAACAATCAAGATGACATCATCAGATGATATCACCTTAGAGAAATACACGTATTCACAAGTAAAGGGGAATCCGAGTCAGTTAGTTACAAAAACTTGCAAGTACACAATAGGAACATTTGGTTTTGGTGTGTATAAAATAACGTCCCCACAAACTTGATACAGGAAACGATATGTATGAGATTCCACAGTGTTGAATAAAACACTCTGTAAATGATCTGTCAATGTCTTTCTGTTTAGCAAGTATTTTAAATAGTTTACTTTTGTTAGTTTGTAGTTTGCCTAATATTGTTCAGTATTGAAATCATGTGCTGGTCATGTAGCCATTATTGTCTTACAGATTGATCAGTCTCATAAGGATGTATACAAGAAAGAGTATGTGAAGAAAGGACCACATATATATATATATATATATATATATATAACTGTGAGTAAGTGAGCTTGAGTGAGTGAGGGAGGGAGTGTGTGAGAGAGTGTGTGTGTGAGTGAGAGAGAGAGAGAGTGAGTGAGTGTGTGTGTGAGAGAGAGAGAGAGAGAGAGAGAGAGAGAGAGAGAGAGAGAGAGAGAGAGAGAGAGAGAGAGAGAGAGAGAGAGAGAGAGAGAGAGAGAGAGATTGAGGGAGATCAACAGACTAACCATTCCATATAAATGTAAAACGTCAAAGCCAGAGATAATCTGTCTCAGTTGCCTGCCAAAACAGATTCCATTGTACATGAAAGGTAAAAAAGCAATCACAATCCACAAGCGTGAGTAAACAGTGGAGACATGTTCTGTGATACTAATGTGAACACGATCAAAGTAATCTTGAGGACTATGTGACTATCAGATTGTGCGTAGTCACGGTGACCATACTTTCCAGCAATTTTGATGGTGTTGATTGTGTTTTCCTCTCAGATTGCAGGTAATAAGGTGTTTTTTCGTTTTAGTAAGAGTAAAATATGTTACAATTACCATTTTAAAACGCGTAATTTCGTTTACAAAGCATACACAACAACATGTAGTATTTTCCTATCGACATAAGAAAGTGGGCGGTGCTTGATTAATGGCTATATGTATGTACACTAAGATCACTGCAATTCGTAATATCGCATTTCTAAACTCCTTGTGCATCGGCTTTGCTATACACATAAGCAAACAATACCTAAACACCAACACCAGAAAATAGGTTAGTAGGTCGTTGCAGAAATCAGATTAAAGCTGATCACCTGCTGTCGTACACGAAGAGGCTAACATGATCCCACCTTGTAGTTTTGCCATTCTTTTGTTAAGTATTCATTTGGGGTATGTTGAACGTTGTATAAGTGATCATGATGTGTTTTATCGCATTTTCGTTCATTCTAGTAGGTAATCATGCTCATTTGACTGAGGTATTGTTTGTGGGTTACTGGAGAGGGTTAGTAGATAGAACGTAAAGGAGTGGATAGGTGAAGAGTGGGTGTCACAAGATGGAAGATTTGCTGTGAGGAAGGGGTTAGGAGTTTGGCTGGGGTTTCTTGATGGAGAGGATGGAAGGGGCATAGAATACGATTAACTTAGTTGAACAAGCTGCTGAACTTTGCTGTCACTCTGATGAGTTGTCTTGCCCAGCTAACTGAGAGTGTTAGTTTAATTCCTGTTTTTTTAAAACTATTTCCATTGTTGTAGATGTCTTATTTTGATAAACCAAGTGAGTAAGTGAGTGAGTGATTTAAAATTTAAAGTCCCATCGGCAGTATTTCAGTCATATGGTGACTATGAAAGTTGTAAATGTGTATATGTAACCATGAAATATAAACAAACTTATATGCTTACTTGTCTGCGAAGGACAGTAAAATAACTATAGGCTATAGCAGATTTATACTTAAAACTAGCATATAACCATAAAACACTGTTTCTCAGTTTAACGGTACAATATTAAAATGGGTTATAGATTGCCAACAACTGAAGGTAGATCACCATAATAGGGACCATGGGGACTTAGAGTACATATGCTTCCTGCATTGACTCTTGCTGGATTTACACCATCCCTTCAGTTGTCAGAAGATAAAGCAAGAGTGGATATGGTGCAGGCAACCAGAGGAACTAAAAATCGGAGCAATATTGGATTCTATCTTGATCATTAGATTTTGCCACGAGTAAGGGGCGCAACTGTCCATAGCGAATACTGAAACCTTTATCTCCAATCAATCACTCACTTTAGAAGTCTTTAGTAGAACAGACATCTCTTGTACATCTGTTTCACCTAGTAGATGTGTGTCTGCCTGGGCGCCCAAGCTCTTAAATCCCGGGGGAGTTCCTTGACTATTACACCAACGCCGCAGCTCTCAGCTACTTCGTGAACATCAAGCAATGTACCAAAGACATCTACAGCAACATTACAATGTATTCGTATGGGGACGTCATCACCAATGGCTACGTGATCAGTTACCCCACGGGGAAGTTCATCCTGACGTACAGCTCAGACAGAGAGGTAGATGGGAGGCACCTGAACCTATCTGGTTAGTTCTAACATACACCATAGACAAGAACCCTAAAACAATCTGAACACGCGTACACACGTCTCAGTCCTCATAACAACTAATGAGTGAGTGAGTTTAGTTTTACGCCTCCTTTGGGTAGCAATGTGCCAGCAATATCACGGCGGAGAGCACCAGAACTGTGCTTTACACATTGTACCCATTTGGCGAATCGAATGCGAGTCTTCGGTGTGACTAGCAAACGCTTTAACCCCTAGGCTACCCCATCGCCCCAAACAACTACTAACTTAACGTGGACTGTGTGGTAATATGTATGTGAAATCGAATTTACATTTGGTTCTTTTCAGGTCCTGCTATCAGATCAACAGGCATTGCTCTTGGAGACTCAAGAGATGTGATTGTTGATATGAACGACCTCAACCCCGCTACCGGAAGTGTAATGGACCAATCAGAAGTTATCTGCAAAAACGACGGAAACGCCCAAGGGTGCTTATAAGTAACTATAGAGTAACTGTTCTGCGGATGGTACATGGATAGACATAACTATTACATACCTACATGTACCCGCGTAGATCCGGATCTTCAACAACCCATGATTATAGTAAGAGGCGACTAACGGGATTAGGTGGTAAGGCTGACTTTATTCATCGTATCCAGATTGCGTAACTAGATGTTCATGCTGTTGCTCACGGGAGTGTCTGGTCCAGGCACGAATATTTACAGACAACCGCCAAATAGCTGGAATATTGCTGAGTAGCGCGTTAAAAACAACAACAAAAAAGACATACATATATGTGTATGGACATTTGTTTCAACTAAAGCTGAATTTGGTAAAAACAGAATGCATAACTCTTCCTACCTATTCTTCAGTGGTTTCCAGTTGTTTGCTCAGACGCCCAAAGGAACTCTACTGACGACCTTGAACGATGTCCAAATGTCGCTTATGACTGGGGAGATTGTATATTACGTCTTTGATATCTACCATTGCTTACCTGTCGAACCGTTAGATGCTAAACAGTACTACGCTGGAAGAATCGTTGGTACGCAGAATAATTTAACCACATTTACATAAACACATGCAGACGTGTTTCCAAATACTTAACGGACTATTATGCATAAAAATACATTTTAATGGGTGGAAATTATTAACATAAATAACCAATGCTGTATGACCCTTCGTACATCATTATATTGTCGATATAGTTATCTTGCCCAGCTAATTGAGGAAGTGATAACAGAATATTCAGAATAGTTTCCGATGTCATCTATATATGTTTTCATTTAATTTGTGGACAGATACGTCTACTTCATAACCTATTACCGTGAACAGATATGACCAGTTACCCGTGCAGATCTGGGTTAGAATTAGTCTTCGGCAAACAATGCTTGTCATAAGATGCGATCAGGTGGTTAGGCTGGATGACTTCAGTAGATCGATGCTCATGATGTCGATCACTGGATTGTCTGGTCTCGATTATTTACAGACCGCCGCCATGTAGCTAGAATATTGCGGAATGCGGCGTTACGCAACAGCCGATACTGCACACTCAGAGTGAGTGAGTGAGTTAAAATTTTACGTCACATCGGCAATGTTTCGGCCATATAGTGACGAGAAACATTTGGTTTACCTATCAGAAATATCTGTCGCAAAGGACAGTAAAACATAAGCAAGATTGCACACTCAGAACGTATATAGATACTGGCTCCTGCAGGAATCCCTACAGTCGAGCGGGTAGCTGCTTCAGCCATTAAGGGAAGATATAATCACCTTATGTCCAGACGTAGTAATTAAACAATTACCGGATAAATCTGTGATTAAAACAGACGAGTACCGTGTTGAAATAGGCCTTTGCCTTGCTGAATATCACAATGTGGATGCTTTAAATAACAGTGCGACAAGACATCCTTCTTTGGAAGTATTTCAGAGAACTTCACGCGATATCATGGCTCCATATTGCAAAAATACCGCAATCATATCCTGTCGTGTGTGCCATGGTTATCCGAAACTGTGTCGCTTTCCTTCCGCAATAATCCTGTGTTAATTCAGTCATAGTATTTCCGCAGCATTTCAACACTAATTCCGCAACAACTGTGATTCTGCAGAAGTAAAGTGATAATTCCGGAATCATGTCTACCGTACTGAAACGGGGGCCGTAGTCTTGATAATACTGTTGGATTTGTATGGACCTTTACAGAAGTTAAGTAATGATATATTAGGTAGTTTTGAACAGTAGGTTATGGCATTTAATGATATTTAAGTTATTCAGTCGTTATATTTTCAGATTTCCGAATCAACAAGAAAGGTGCTATGGTGTTTTCTGATCGTCTCCTTGGTCTCGGTTTTATTACAGTCTTCAATGTTGAGCTGACGTCCGAATCTGACATCACGATTGACATGTACATGTACTCCAGGCAAACATCGGAGTCAACCCATTTGGCCAACAAAACGTGCACATATGGCGATACCTTCAAAATCTACAAACACTCTTTATAAATATAGTGTTGACACAAAGCCAATGGATTAATAAAATTACTCGTTTCCCTATTAGTTTATTCCAACTTTTTTGTTACTTTGACTGTACTTGTGTTTCGATTATTGTCATTCGTTATTTTGAGAATTTGATTCAATTGCAAGAAGTACGTTTTGTTCCTTCCTTTAGGGCGAGTAAGTGAGTTTAGTTTTACTCCAATTTTACCAATATTCCACCAGAAATGCGCTTCACACATTGCATCCATTGGGGAATCGAACCCAGGTCTTCGGCGTGACTAGCGAACGCTTTAACCACTAGATTACCCCCACCGCTCCACCTCCTTAGATTAGGGTAATGTCCTGTGTACAAACCTCGGGGTTATTACACGCCCAATGTACCTATGTACCGTACGTATAATTGTATGAAACAACAACATGCCTTCATTTGAACATGCCTTCTTTTGGACGTGGATCGCACTCCCTTTTTGGAACTGGCAACTATGTTAAAACAGCAATAACTCCAGACCATAGGATTTGCCTTCATTGTGTCAGTTGCTTATAACGAGAACATTCGACTGTATTACATATATTGACAGTGTATTGGTTTTCAATATTCACCAACCACAATGCAATGCTATGAAATGTCACCGTATGGTCAAAGTTACCCTGTACACAAACAATGATCCATATTAACCTTTGGACATATCAAATCGTCTTCTCATGACGAGTCACGAGTCACAGCAGGTTGTATAGAGTTCTCGATATAAACAACTCACTGCTCGAGAGGTCAAAGATACGACTGGTGTATACAGAAGCGGCTCATTATATCGGGTTGTCTGACACAAAGGACATTAAGGAAAAGTGTTGACATGAAAACCTTCCTGTTGGTGATCACCATTGGGCTGATGTATGTACAGAGTTGAGCATTAGACAATGTTGTATAATAGAAATATGTTTACTGAATTAGGAGCCATTGTTATTGACCAGGGCCTAGATTTTCGAAGCTCTCTTAGCGCTAAGATAGCTGTAAGTTAATGTTAATGTATGGCACTTACAACCTTTCTTAGCGCTAAGAGAGCTTCGAAAATCAAGGCCAAGTGTTGTATTCGCACTGATTCTGCATCTGGGCACCATACCTGTGCCCGTAGGTTTCACAAAGTGGTGAACGACTGAGTCATGCTATCATGCTTTCGTCCCACATAGAGCTGATACACCGTTACATAACTGTAATATTGTTCTAAGCGGCATTCAAACTTCAGTCCGTTTGATTTCATTTGAGACCGATGAATTGCTCACTAACACAAAATCTAATAAATACAACAAAACCAAATTGTGCACAGTCAAATGAAATCGACAGACCAACTCTGATATTTTGTCTCATAATTTTGGTCACAGGAATAATAAAAGTTGTTCAACAAACGATCATTATTTTGTTGTCACTTTTCGCTATTTCTTACGAGGGGGGGACCACTTCCTGGTTGAACAGCCAGGTAATCAACAAGTATGTGTAGTGAAATTTCAATTTCACATGTGGTACTCGCACCTTTAGCTGTTCTACCAGCAAGTGGTCCCCCTTCGTAAGAAGAGTTGGGCTGTCGATGTCATGTTACTGTGCAATATTTGGTTTTGTTGTATTTATTAGATTTTGTGTTAGTGAGCTGTTCATCGGTCTCAAATGAAATCAATTCATTTAACCACACTTGTTAAAACTTTGAAAAATTCTTTCTCTATATATTACTACACATTTCCCTATATGTTATTAACCTGAAGTCCAAGGGTACTTAGTTAGTGAGTGAGTGAGTTAAAATATAACGTCACAACGGCAATATTTCAGCCATATAGTGACGAGAACAAAGTTAGTATATATGATAAATACCTGTCACGAAGGACAGTACAACTTTAGCAACGTATCACAGAAGTCTAAAAAGTAAATCATTCAAAAAAAATGCAACTCGATATGACATATATTAACATTAAAACACGGTCTATGTACCACCAACAACCAAAGCTAGGCCACCTTGCCGGGCTTCATTGGAAGAAGGGTATTTAGTGTTATAACGCTTTCATTTATAAGAACCTTATTGTAAGGTTAGTGTCGGTTGCTGTAGGGAGGGCAGATTATGTTTACCTTTGTCCCGAACGCATTGTGTCATTCTTTTGAAATATTTCCCATCAATATTTGTTCCAACGGCTGGATAGTATTATCTTTAACATTAAATCGAAACTGTTTGTTCTCTGGCGTTATATATACTCCTCACAAAAAGTTAAGCAACAAGTATTTTTTTCCACATATTTTCTTCATGGGTATATGAAGTTATTACTTGGCATATAAGCCATGCAGGAGAACCCTTTACGATTGATGAACTTAAAGCATTTCCCATATTGTTTTTCTGATAACATTGTTAGCACCGCCTGAACGCAACCACCCTCAAAACTCACATGCAAAATGCATGGAAAAACATGTGCTATACACGTCGCACATGCGTTCTGATTGCGTTAAAACTGCCAGCAACGACAAATTGTTGACAGTAACATTTGAGAAATGGCTAGGCGTCACTTGACACCAATTGAAGTTGCTCAAATTGTTGGAATGGTGCAGGGGGGTCAGACCCAGAGTGCTGTTGCCAACCATTTCAATGTTCATCGAAGCGTCATCTCCAGAGCGATCACTCGTCACCAACATACCGGATTGATGACTGAGAGACCACGCTCAGGTCGTCCAAGGGTGACAACTCCCAGAGAGGACCGATACTTGGCCACCCTAGCCCGGCGGAACAGGTTCACCACAGCCAGATCTCTCCAGAATGACCTCCAGAGAGTTGCTGGGAACAGAATCTCCACACAGACAGTGAGGAACAGACTCCATGCTGAAGGTCTCAGGTCCCGAAGACCAGTGCAACGTATCCCACTGCCTGCACACCATCGTCAACAGAGACTGAATTGGGCTAACCAACGACGTAACTGGAGAGTCAATCGCTGGCGTAATGTTCTCTTCACAGATGAGTCAAAATTCTGTCTGGACTTCAATGATGGTAGGGCTCGTGTGTGGAGAAACCGTAACGAACGATACGCCAACTGTACGATTGCTGAACATGATCAGTATGGAGGTGGGAGTTTGATGATCTGGGCAGGAATCCAAGTTGGACGACGAACTGATCTTGTGGTCATCAGACGAGGTACCATGACAGGTGTGAGGTACCGAGACGAAATTGTCACACCTGTGATCATTCCGTGGGCTCAGCAAGCAGGTCCTAACTTCATCTTCATGGATGACAATGCCCGTCCACATCGAGCAAGAGTTGTCACTGATGTTCTTCAGACCAACAACATCACCCATATGGACTGGCCTGCAAGGTCTCCTGACCTGAATCCTATTGAACATGCTTGGGACATCCTCGGAAGGCGTGTGTACGGCCTCCACGTTCGTCCTCAGACTCTGGATCAGCTTGAACAGGCATTGCGGAGAGAATGGCAGAACATTCCACAACAGACTCTAGACAGACTCATCTGGTCAATGCCTAGACGTCTTGAAGCGTGTATTCAGGTCAATGGTGGCCATACACGTTATTAAACTTTGGATCAGTGCTCAAAACTGACAGTAAAAGTGTTTTCAGACATTTTCATACCCTGATGCAACACATTTTGCACGGCTTTTTTCAGTGACACTGTTTTTGATGATTTGCAAGTCAGTTATTGTTCAATGAATTTTGATTTCTTTGTTGGAAAAGTGTGTGGATATGCTTTATCTTTGTTATGTTTGATTCAGTTGTAATGATCATGAGTAAAGGCATATGTACTGACCAAAAATACACTTGTTGCTTAATTTTTTGTGAGGAGTATATGTACCACATTTCGTATTACACACATGTAATAAAGTTAGATCGTCGTAAATCATACGTAACAACATGAAATAGTTCGGGATAACGAGATTTCAGTTTATGATTTTTGAAAGAAGGAAACTTTCTCAACTAGCATTGCCTTAGCAGTAGATATATTTCACGCAGTTGATACAGACACACGAGCCCTATAGAACGCTGCGGTGTCGTTGTGCTAGCGACAGCGTTGGCGTGAACCTCCATGTATTTACTCACTCGGGGCGGTGGTGTAGCATCACTCGTCACGCAGTTCGACCCGGGTTTGAATTGTAATTATGTGTTAGGCTAAATCTGGTGATCTCGGCAAGATACTGCTGAAATATTGCTATGTGCTCAATTCCCAAATTACCCACATTGCTCCATGACTTTTGGAGAAAATTTAGGATCGGTGTGAATAGTTTCACATCGATCTTCTATGGATGAATCGCTGATTTTATGGCTATTTGAACGATATATGCTAATGAAAGATACAAACGGTTGATACGCTTTTTTCTTTTTTTAACAAGATTAGCCGGGTGCTCCTGCAAACCATCACAGCTATCATTTGGAGATGCTGTCAAGTTTCTCAAAGTCGGGGGTCAGATATCCTACGACTTGAATATCAGCAAATGCAGCAACAATCTTCCCAAGGATATCCCATCCTTCTCGTGGGGGGGGACAGGGTAGACGACGTCATCATCTTGGATGAGGGGACCGACTTCTCGGTAGAATTCTCTATCACCAGGAAGGTCAACGGCATAAGGTATAACCTGACAGGTAGGTCATTCAACAAATGTCGGACTTGTCCCGTTGAACCATGTCATCCTGCATGTGGGATTTAATCCAGAATTCAATCACACGTGATAAAGTCCAGTTTAGTCTGAAGTGAGTGAGTGAGTTAGTTTTACGCCGCACTCAGCAATATTCCAGCTTTATGGCGGCGGTCTGTAAATAATCGAGTCTGGACCAGACAATCCAGTGTTCAACAGCATGAGCATCGATCTACGCAATTGGGAATCGATGACATGTGTCAACCAATCCTGACCATCCAATCCCGTTAGTCGCATCTTCCGACAAGCATGGGTTACTGAATATTCTAACCCGGATCTTCACGGGTCTTAAGGCTAAAGCATACAGATATATATATATATATGTAGGGCCAATGCACTGGGGTACACCGGCAGGCCCAGAGACAATACACTAATTATTGTCAACTACAAGAGATCATACGGATCTGGTCATACAGGCATATACATGTACATGTGTCTTACATGCTGATATTCTCTCCGCAATATTCTGTAAATAACCAAGTCTAGATCAATGCATACATATTCGGGTGGGTTGAATGCAAGCCAAATGAAATACTGTACATACACGTGTATGAGCCAATAACTGTTTTGTAGGTTGAATACAAAACCCACACACCCAACATATGTCTATCAAATCATATAAGAGCCATTCTCACAAGATATTGTTGAAATGTATAACGATTTGCAGTTTACTCGGGGTCGACAGTAAATGACGATTTAGACACAACGCTGGTTTACTCAGAAATTGTCAGTATCAAAAGAACACATCGAAACATGTCCCGATTTGTAGTGAGTGAGTGAGTTTAGTTTTACGCCGCTTTTAGCAATATACCAGCAATGTCATTGCGGGGGACACCAGAAATGGGCTTCACACATTGTATCCATGTGGGGAATCGAACCCGGGTCTTCAGCTTGACGAGCGAACGCTTGAACCACTAGGCTACTCCACCGTCCCTTTGTCAGATGAAAGGGAAAGTAAACTTAACATAGCATATTTTAATACCTCAAATACAACCACGACACACGACACCACTATTAACTATAAATCATATAGTATGATTTGGAATTACAGACCAGGCCCTGATTTCTCAAAACAAACTTAAGTCTGAGTTTAGACTTAAGTTAGAGTTTTTCCTCAAAATTGAGAAAATGCATTTCCCAGAATGAACTGAAATTGATATTAAACTCAAACATAATAGACAATTTGAGTTTGGTGGATAGATTACCTAAGTTGTTTGTGGATTTTTAATTTAAAAATGCAGTTGAATAAAAACTCAGTTTGAAATTTGAGTAAAAACTTAAGTTTGTTTCGAGAAATCGGGGCTTGAAAAGTGTCGCAGATTGAGATAAACCACTCAGCTCAATATTATCCAAAACTTGCGTCAGCTTCATAAAACGATTTAACTTCATTTTATTTACCATTTCACTTCCGATCTTTTCTATTTTAACACGTTACCATTTATACGTTGACTTATATTGTATACATTTTACAGATTAACATGACTCTTTTATCAGTGTCATTAATGTTTTGAATGGCATGTAGAAGTCATTAACATAACCAGTGACAATGTATTGATGTCGACTTCTGTATTAAAAGGAACACAACGTTTCGGAGTGTCTCCCTTCTTTTTCATCGTGTAATAAAGTAGAAGTCATCCAGAAACTTCCCTCACTTACCAATATAATTGCTCGCTACATTAGCTGTGTTTGTGTTCGGTTGTTCACCGACACACACTGTTATGGTTGACCTCTCCAGCGCGCAACCATCTCGTCAGAAAACAATGCCGCTATATAGAAAGGAAAGTGTTGGTGTTCAGAATAGACAGACGCTGGAATACTTCGAGTTTAAGAATGTTTTACCGGGACAGAAAACATAGGATTTTTTTAGAGAGTGGCACGGCACACAGGTGCCAGTTAAGACAGGGTACAGCAATACAGAAATATGACCATCTTTCTTTTTTGTAAAATGAAATGACAGTTTTTCTCTTTTCCACCTGTGATCAGATCGCCCTGTACGGTTCACTCAGGTATCCATCAGTAACGACCAGGTTTTTGTGGAGATCACGGACGTCAATGAAGATGTTCCCGACTTTCTTTCAACAGGCTCTATTCAGTGTGCAAATAAAGATGGGTGAGGCCTTTATTTTGAAAAGTATCACATGCTTGCTTGAGTCCCTTGAACATTCTGGAGATTCCCAGCAAGCGATGTCACAGAGAGCCCCAAAACACTCGGTATCAAATGATTTCATTACATTGTACTTGGATAGGTAGGCCATCGGAGAGGCCTGATCTCCATCATTGCCTCTCTCTCTCTCTCACTCTCTCATTCTGAGAGGATTTAATCACGTGTCCATTAATTTTTTTTAAATCTACACCATGGTTTGCAGTTACCTGCTCATTGTGTAACAAATACTGTTTCCAGCGGTGTTGTTGTCAACAAGTTGTCCACACCAGGGGGAGAGGTGACCACCCAGGAGGACCTCATCAACCACCTCCGCATGGGCTACGACTTGACCTACGTGCTTCAGTGGGATAAGTGCTCCCCGGGTAACACTACGACCAACAAGTGGTGGTCAGGGAGAATATCGGGTGAGGGAAGGGGATGTAAGCAGCAAGTATATGAATGCCAGGTTGGTTGGTTGGTTGTTGAACGCTGCATTCACCAATATTCTAGCTCTGTGGCGCCGCCCTGTAAATAATCGAGTCGGGACCAGACATTCCAGTGATCAACAGCATGAGGATCGATCTGCACAATTGGGATACGATGACATGTGTCAACCAAGTCGGCGAGCCTACTCGATCCTCTTATGGCAAGCATTTGGTTGCTGAGGTCCAATTCTAACCCGGATTTTCACGAGTGACAGGTAAATGAGAGCATCAAGATTGAATACAGGAAACGTGCGTACATGAGTGAACGAGGGAATTAAGGCGTTGTGAGTGAGTGAATGAGGGATAAGTGAGAACCAAGGAGTGTCTGAAGATTGAGTGAGTGGTACATGAGTGTGAGGGGAAACTGAGGAGAAAGTGGAGAAAGGAGACCGAGGAGAACGTGAACAATTGTGAATAAGGTGGTGGGTTTTGAAGAGTAAGAGATCATATTATGGATGACCATCAGTAATATGTGTTTTTCCTGGAACGTGTACATATTTCTTTCCAGGTTATCGGTTTGGCCACAACGGTGGCGTCAGCTTCACCCAAATTGTAGACAGTGCCCAAAAGGAATTCTTCATTGAAGTCAGTGTCATGAAGTCCAGTGTCAAGGTCCAGATGTTCAACATTGAAAGGTTACAAAGACAGCAGGGGTCGACGGAAACAAGGATGTGTGCATTAGGCCAGAGCTATCGTGTCTTTACACACCAAGACGCATAGTGCCCTTCAAACGATCAATAAATCCTGCCTGTATTTAGTTCTTGCTTCAGTTGTGTTATATATGATACACTTAATGAATGTGATGGTGGCTGATCTTCAGGGACCGAGCAGTAAATATTCCAACTGTGGAGGTGTTTTGGTTGCACATCTAGCACATGTTTGGGGAGCATTTGAGTCAATTCAATTTCCAGTATTTTAATTCTCTTTTCCCCAAACTAATGTCGAACAATGATGAAGTACAGCATGTGAAGCCCGCCCTTTGAATACATCACTACACACGATATAAAGCCAGATTCATTCACTCACTCAAGGAGGAAAACGCTTGGTGGTGATTAGGATTTTTGGTAGTAACTATTCATGCTGCCGATCGCGACCATTTCTGGAACAGATAAACCATAAGTAGATATGACAGTTATGAGAAAAGGCCTAACACATTACTGAATGAGTGAGTTTAATTTTACGCCGCTTTTAGCAATATTCCAGCAATATCACGGCGGGGAATACCAAAAATGGACTCCACACATTGTACAAATGTGGGGAATCGAACACGCCGATCTCCTTAACCTTTAGGCTACATCACCGCCCCAATTAGTGAATGACCACACGCTTAATTCAGCATACTCATTTATTTTGCCCATTCCTTCCAATATTTGGGGCGGTAGGGTAGCCTAATGGTTAAAGCGTTTGCTCGTCACGCCGAAGGCCCGGGTTCGAATCCCCACATGGGTACAATGTGTGAAGCCCATTTCTGGTGTCCCACGTCGTGATGTTGCTGGAATATTGCTAAAAGCGGCGTAAAACCAACACTCAGTCAGTCAGTCAGTCAAAGCATATACAGTGAAGCGCTCATAAAATTATGGACATGTCAGGTGTATATTTATATCTGTAATACATTGTTCAGAGGTTTCCATTTGGAATTAAATTCCGTGATATTGCTGGAATATTGCTAAAAGCGGCGTAACGCCATACTCAATCACTCCTTCCATTATTTAAGGGATGTATTACGTTTTTGTGCACTTGTGAGTGAGTGAGTTAAGATTTTAAATCACATCGGCAGTATTTCAGCCATATAGTGACTAAATCAAGTTATAAATATATAAAACAATTTAAAGTAAATTATAAAATTCTGTCAACGAAGGACAGTAAAACAACTAGATTTGCACTTATCAAAGGATAACAGTCACACAGAACGGGTTAATGCGAATTAATACGAAATTTGTGACCGTTATGAAACGCATCAGAGATGTTTTTCTTTGGTCTGCATAAAATGCATTTGAATCAGGATGTCGGTGCTGAATCATTTTTAATCGATTCAGCCGGACAATGTTTTCACACTGTGGCATACACTATTCTTCCCTGTATATTTGTATTGCCATGTGTCGCGTGATAAATGTGCGTATTCGCGACCGGCACCATCTGAACAAACTCAAACACGTAGGTGATAGTGAAATTCAAGGTTCCTGCTTTCAAAATGAATGGCCATGCGGAACCACATTTCTTTACGGATTTTAGGAATATCGGAAGCAGCTAGGTCTTTTGTCAAAGGGAACTACAAGAGCAAACACAAATGTGTTATGAAAATAGATTTATTATATTATCAGAAAATTGCCCAAAATACGTGCAGGTCATGTGCCAATTGTCAAGGGCACAGTCAAGCTGTTCCCGTACAATGTTTTATTTTGTGATTCTCCTTATAAACGTACACAGAAGTAGTCTCATCCCTCTTCGACTTCCTGCAGTTATGGAAAAATAACATTCAGTTTTGATTTTGAAGTTGCATCGATTACTGAAGACTTTATGCAGATAGTTTGATACAGATTATGGCGCGGCGTTTAATCCGCAGCCACTATATATTTTTAAAGATTTCAAGTAACGAACTTACAAGGCACTGGTTTGAAGGTTCTCCACGATACAGCTAAATTGGCCCCGTAAATGTTGAAACATGTTTCATGGAAATCACTATGAAACTGTTTAATAATACACTAGATCGGTACATGTTTGTAAACGAACGAACTTTCATTGAGACGAAATAACACAATCTGCACTCAGTCTGGTAGTTTCCATAAATTCACATGGACACCATGCATAACAATTATCATGTAAGGGAGAAATTGTTAGGATCTGTTGATCAGAATGAACATATTCGTTATGTTTGATGCATAATATATCAATATTTGTCATATTGACCTCTTGTTGCGCTAATTGTATCTCTTTCAAACAGCCAGTGAATTTCCAGTTCAGAATCAACTGCAGCAAGAACATAGCATCATCACAATGGTTTATTTTGGATGTATTGACTTTCTTATAGTCAAGGTTGTCCAGGCCCCGGTTTCTCGAAACAAACTTGATCTCAGTTTTGACTTAAGTTAGAGTTTTTGCGTAAATTTGAGAAAACGCAGGAAAATGCATTTCAGAGAATGAACTTGAAATCGATATTAAATTCAAACATAGTAGACAATTTGAGTTTGGTGGATAGATTACTTAACTTGTTTGGGTTTTTTATTTTTTTAAATATAGTTGAGTTAAAAATTCAGGTGTTTCAAATTGTCAGTTTGGAATTGGAGTAAAAACTTAAGTCTGTTTCGAGAAATCGGCGCCTGACCTCGGATTTAGCATCATTTCTTAAAATTACAAATCTATTGTCCTCTCTCTCAGTCCCTGCTGTTTCATTTCGATGTGTTGCCGAGTTGCAAATGAGACTAAAGATGAGCTAAGCGAAATTAAATGACATACTTTGCTCAAGTTAAAGTGAATTTGGTTTTACGCCACTTTGACCAACATTCCAGTTCTATGAAGGCGTGTCAGCTTCATGTAGTAGGACTGTCTAAGTAATGCAGGTCTCAGACTTCCATGGTCATCGCGCTATTAAAACAATAAGCATAACCACGGGCAGCGTGGGATTTGAATCCACGATGTTTCTGGCGTGTAAAGGGGACGTGACTCTGTACAGCGAATTGCTATGCTTTATACCAGTGGTGCACCCGAACCCCGTTGAGGAATGAAAAGCTCAAATATGTTTTATAATATACAGATTCAGAAGCAACGCCCACCAGTTATTAATTGTAATGTAACCTTTACTAACCATTATTGGCCATTATTAACTATATAGCATACTGCTTTGCCTAAATTTAATTCCAAATGGAAACCTCTGAACAATGTATTACAGATATAATTATACACCTGACATGTCCATAATTTTATGAGCGCTTCACTGTATATGCTTTGACTGACTGACTGACTGAGTTTTGGTTTTACGCCGCTTTTAGCAATATTCCAGCAACATCACGACGTGGGACACCAGAAATGGGCTTCACACATTGTACCCATGTGGGGATTCGAACCCGGGTCTTCGGCGTGACGAGCCAACGCTTTAACCATTAGGCTACCCCACCGCCCCTGTATATGCTTTGAAAAACAATGATATGATATATGTATCTACACCTGCTGAAGTGAAATGAATAAAAAGAATGTGAAAACAAACAAACAATCTATATAGCATACTAAATCGTATCGATTCATCGTTTCGTCATAACGAAGCGACGTCATAACGAAGTTCTCTTTATTCACAAGTTTCAGAATTCCTCTTACCAGTGAGCACCTGGACCCTGCTGGACTACGGAAGCGCGTGTAAAATATTGATTAGATATCCGATTATTTTTTGGTGTTGGTGCAAGAACCACGCGATGGTTTATATGGTATTACAACTATCTCCGAAGTAAGGTTGTACACATTGTTCCGTATCTTATATGGGAGTATTAAACTTTATTTGGCGCACTTTATCGGGTTTCATTTAGAGACTCGTGAAGGACTGAATTTCGACCGTAAAGAGTTGATCTAATGCAAATAATTAGTGGCATTTTACTCATGTCATCAGCACCTGAATGCTTACCTCTATGCACATAAACCGTAGACACTTTCTGTGCGAAACACGAAACGAGATCCAATTTGTTCTGAATTTCATCAAATTACTTTGGATTAATTCGTTAAAGGACATTGTTAACCAACTGCCAAACCAAAGTGATCTTAACAGGTTAGCTGATCGGAATGAGGTGACATGAACTAAGAATAGAGTTAGGCGCAATAAACCCTAACCCGAACACAATAAACACGAACAAGCGAGACGAAAACAGTAACCCTAACTGCGTCCAGTACACAGCATTATTGTTCAGTAAAATATACAAATTTTGAAGCATTCATAATTCGATGCCAAAATGCTTCACCCGAGTAAGTACTTCCGTTTGATTGACAGAAACATATATTCGGGTGTATAGAGGACGTTTTTCCACAGATATTAACCGATATAGCCGTTCCATACTGTTGAGACCGTCCTTGTCAAATCGTTCACGGCTTGTTCTATAGAGAGCCATTCTGAAAATAAAACGTATGAAACATTATTACCTGACACAAAATATAATCCAGTACATTTACATTCATTAGTTGTGTTTTACTAAGTACTGTTTATATAAATTCTTTTTGTAAGAAAGGATATTTGAAAATGATGGGCATATTTACACATCTTCCATTTTCAGGAAATGATCCATATGAGAGTGTTTTAATCAACATACAAATATAATCCAAACCCCGACATCCGCCACCCCCAGAATATCACCCTCCATTTAAAAGTTTATTGATGGCTTTAATTTCCACTATAGACGAACAAATAGTCTTTAGTCCTACTCGGTCTTTACATTGAAAATTCAAGGTCATAGTGATCTGTTGCAATTAAATCTGGAATTCACCATGAAGGATACAATAACATCCAAGCTTTCTTTCTGGTTACGTGTTGTTATTTATAACACAACTTATAAATGTGTGTAAACGTCAGTGCTTATATTCAATTGAGTGTTTTAACATACCTACATTTTTATTCCACGAGTTCCACAGATAAAGAAACCGGGACACACAGAGATTTGGTCATTCCAAAGGGAACTGCATGTATTCCCAAAAGGAGGATATTTCCATGAGAGCGAATTTGTAAGCTGTGCCTCACCATAAGAATAGCAACCAAGGATGTGAGAAGCAAATACAGATACAAGTGAAGACATCTGTACTTGAATGTGTGTACACATATTGAAAATGTAACTGCATATTTTAAATGTAATTTGTTAGCAAAGAAACCTACTGCTTGTCTGTATTGTTCACTGTCAACAATTTCCTAATACTGTGAGTGAGTCAGTTTAGTTTTACGCGGCACTCAGCAACATTCCAGCTATCATTACGGCGGTCTGTAAGTAATTGAGTCTGGACCAGACAATCCAGTCATCAACAGCATGAAGATCGATCTACGCAATTGGGATACGGCGGAATGTGTCAACAAAGTCAGCGAGCCTGACCACCCGATCCCGTTAGTCGCCTCGTACGACAAGCATGGGTTACTGAAGACCAAATCTAACCCGGATCTTCACGGGTCCCGGGTCTATATGGAACGAAAGTGGGTTCCAGTAGCTGAACGCAAATGAAATGTAAATAAATACAAACATGTTTTCTCATTTTGTTTGTATGAATATAAGCTAATTATCTTAGCAAAATGCCCACATTGGTCCTAAACACCATTTCATAAAGGCTTGACAATGCGCCTTGATACAAAGGACTGTTTACTTTGAATGAGATTGGGTAGAAAGCGGAAAGGTTCTTTGTCTTTCAGTAACCATGACAAGTCTCGAATGACGTTATATGCTGTAATGAAGCAGGCGTCTCCCAGTCGGGGGTTACTTGGGCTCTATTTCTTAATGGCAATATGACGCATTTTCTAAATGTTCAGTTATTTATTTAGCATTGTATCAGTAAGAGCAAGAATAAGCACTCATGCACAGGACGATGGAGTCGACTATGGACTATCATTTTTACTTTGATTTCATCGATCGAATTCGCCCGAGTGTGTTAGTATATGATGAAAGTCCCTTCTATGCCTTTTGGATCCTTTGACCTAACTAGGAAAATCGCTATTAGAGTTTGCCTAGCGAAATTTAAAATTGCCCCTTCATTGTTAACATGTAATTTCATGACAGGGATGACTATATACAGTGAAGAAACAGACTATGGCCAATACGAATCTATTCACAGGACCAGTACAAGATAAATGAAAACTATGTGTATGTATCTTTACCAGGACAATTAGAAACAGATACAGAAAAGAATTAACAATTACATCTGCAGAAATGAACAAGTTGAAAATTGACACAAAACAAATTCCGTCATTGTGTTGTAAAACTCACGTCGTTGAACTTCTCATGTTGGATGATTCATGTAATATTGAGATCGACCCGATTAAACCACCAGTCATAAATCCTCCCCCCAAAAGCGATAATTGCTCCCCCAAGAGAGAAATTAAAGACCTCTTTAGCTGATATGGGTAGTCCAGATGTCATCATGAAAGTGGACAAGCCCACAGACTGGGTCAGTTCATTGGTGAAAATTGAAAAATCAATTGATCCTAAACATCTAAATAAGGTCATAGAACGTGAACACTTACACCTACTAACTATATCGCGGAAATTACAATCAGGATATCGGGACGAAAACGTACTCTAAGATTGAGGCAAACTCGGAAAGTGAAGCTGGACGAACTGCTCGCACTATTGTTTACACGGTTTTGCAGATTCTGTTTCCTCAGAATGCCGTTTGGGATCAAATCCGGTCAAGAGGTATTGCAGAAACAAATTTATCAGATATTTTAGGATCTTAAGTTTGAGAATGACACAGATGACATGTCGATATGGGACATCACACCGGAAGGGCATGACCAAAGGCTCTAAGAACAGTATTTCTGCAATGTAAGGAAATCAACCTTACACAAAAGCAAGTGCAAGATTCCAGTACAAGAAATTATCAACCTGGGCCATAAAAAAATAAGCAATCAGCAAAATGCTGCCACAAGGAAAACAATGAGTGGAACAACTGTTTGGATTTGTCAGCTTCATTGCAAAAGATATTCGTAATCTGTACTGAGGTAAGAGAACCAATGACACCACCGTTGAAGAAAGAATATGAATTCCTCTGGTCTTTGGACCTGAAATCGCAATTTCTCGCGGAGGACCTGTTCCATTGTTGAAGTTGCATGACATCACCAAACCGTTGGTAGTACCATGTGATGCATTCATGTTTGGCCTGGGAGCTGTCCTTCATCAACCAATGTATTGCACATGCATCAAAGTTCAAGGACTGAAGCACAATAGCGATGTGCACAGATAGCTAAAAAGCACTACGGGCAGGTGTGTTCAGCTTAGAACAATTTCACCAGTACACCTGTGGTAGAGATATCAATGTAACATCAGACCACAAACCATCGGGATCCATACTGAAGAAGCCTCTGACCAAGACCACCTAGATTACTGAGGATCTTACTCAGGTTAGAGAAGTATATATATTGGTTCAACTTGATGCACAGACCAGGAAAGGAGATGGTACTGGGTGGCACACTCTCAAGGCCGCACATGCAGTGATGGTGAAAACCAAGAAGATTACATTACGTACTATGCACATACTCTCACTTGAAACCTGTCGGTTACAGATGCAAAATTAGCAAAGATGAGGATATGAACTTTCTGAAGTCAATCATTCGATATGGATAGCCTGATAACAAACCATCTGTTCTCAGTAGAGTTTTGACTCGTACACAATTTTAATGACCTTCCAGTATCTGTGCAGTGCATTAGTTAAGCACGTTGATTGGAGGGGACTTTTTTTTAAGTTCTACATGGTTTTGGACGTCACGGTTATTTGAGGGGCTCTTTCTTGGTCTAACGGTCTGAAACCAACCCTGCAAAATATGCAAAAATATTCGCGACTTGTCCTACACATGAACAGGACTGTCACAATTTGTTGCCTAACACGTTTTTGTCCCACGTACATGACCTGGACAGTTTGTTTTGTCGAAGTGTATTCAATGTAGCATATCGCCTTAAATATCTTTTTCAATGAATAGAACATTGCGTATACCAATGTCATTTTTCTTGCTTTGAAGAGTATATCAATATCATATCTATTGTTGTGCAAAGTGGACAGCGCCAACTCTACTTACTCTTGGCTTGTGTGATGGGGATCTTTCTTATGCGTCAAAGTAGTGTAACGAGGATATTTGCTGTGTTCATACGGCATTTTCTTCTTCGACAATCTGTAAATGATTATATATACATACAAAATAAGTATTCATACCATAGTGTGTTCGATATTGCAACTGATTTATTTCTTCTCAAGCACTGTTTTGTACATGGGTATGATTTAATAACGTATTCCTTTATGCAACAGCTCTACCTTCAACCGTTGCATACAAAGTCAATGATATAACTGCAAGACCTTTATAATATACGATTATATCTCATTACATATGTTTATTAAATTCTTAGATTCACAAATGCCATGAACAATTCAATCTGATGTTGACAAAGACCAAATAGAGGTATCCTTTACGAGCTGGATTCAACAAATTTGCTTGCCCGACAGAAAACAACACTGGACTCAGACGTCGGGAAATGGGTTATTTCCACCCCTGAATAGGCATGCTCCAGGCTTGCCAGTCTACTGTGGCTGTTGCACGTGCCATGAGATGCAGTATACGGACAAATCACAACCTGAAGACACGTGAACATCAAACGGGTACGACAGGTCAGGACGGCCATGTGTGACGTCATATGCCGAGGACAATCAAATTTGGCTAAGTCATTTGCGTAATCATTTTACGACCAGAAAGTTATTCAGAATCACGCTGTATAGGGGTCGCGCAACTGCCCAGACAATACGAAACAGCTTGCGCGCTGCTTATCTTCGAATTTGTGCCAAGAGTACACAGGTAAACCGTAATGAACGTCTACGCTCTTCACAATTGCACACGAAATGTCCGTACTTCACCGTAATACCAAATCCTGACCTAGTGTACACTCATCGCGTCAATAAACCACCAGATGTATCCACCCGCAACACATTTGTTTTCTACAGTACAACCAGAATTATTGAGAATTTAAAGATTGTATTATTTTTTTCACTCATTACTCACGTATTAAATGTGATTATTAGCAGAACATAACTTCAGATTCAAAGACAGGTGAACAGTTAGTATTTTGTCAAGTCACCATGGGCAGCAATGCATGCCTTAATGCGGCGGGGCATACTACTGATCAAAGAAGTTAGAAAGTCGTGGTCCACACTGTCCCAATATCGGACCACCTCTTCTTTCATTTCAGCAATATTTGTCAGATTTTTCTTATTGACACTTTCCTTCATAAGTCCCCAAACATTTTCTATTGGATTAAGGTCAGGGCTATAGCTTGGCCAATCTAATAATGTCATATTTTGGGTCCGAAACCAGGCCTGTGAATGCTTTGAACGATGTTTTGGGTCGTTGTCCGGCTGGAAAATCCAAAAATGTCCATAGAACACATGAGCAGATGGAAGTAAATGTCCTTCGAGAATATCTGTGTACCGCTCACTGTTCATATTCCCTTCAAATACACAGAGGGGCGTTGCCCCTAACACAGATATGCCACCCCACACGTTAAATTTCGGACTGTACTTTGGGCGTTGATACAAAGGTTTCTCAGCTTGTTTGGTCCAGAATTTCAGTGTATTAGGAAACAGCCACACAGAACTTTCATCTGAGAAAATCACATTGTCCCAGTTAAAATTTCTATGCTGTAAGCACCAGTTCAACCTTCGCTCCTTTTGTTCAGGTTTCATGATCGGTGATGGAATTCCTCGACTTTTCTGCCAACCCATTGCATGCAGCTCAGTTCTAATTGTCTCCTTACAGACAGCCACAGTTCCTCTATCAATCATATCCAGCCTTAAGTTTTCTAAACTCCTTCGTTTGTTTTTAGAAAGAAGAATACTAAGCCGCCTCCTGTCACTGACAGTCAATTTTCTGGGCCTACCTGCGCCTCCCTGGTGCTCAATGCCATATCCATTTGCAATATTTTTCAAAACACGATAAACAGTAGACAAAGGGATGCCTGTTCTACTTGAAATCACCTTAGCTGATCTGACGTCCTTGTTATAATACTCTAAAATCAACTTCCTCTTCTCTAAATCATCCATACTGAGGATCACTGAAAATGTCGTCTGCTAGCAAGTAAACAAAGGGGTATAACTCTTCACAAACTAATGAAAACGGATTAACGGAGTTGTCTCTCTTGAATGAAACCAATGAAAACGGATAGTCGGAGTTCTAGTAGTATATACAATGATGGTATGGGAAACCCCAAGGACTCAATTTACAAAACTGAGCCCTTGGGGAGGCAACCATCATTGTATACACTACTATTGAGTTGCATGCAAAATTCGACGAAAATCGGTCGAATAGTTTCTGAAATATTGACTTTTAAGTGAGCATGGGGTCGGTCGGGAAAAATCAAGGGCTTTTATAAGAATCTCATTTTCGCTTGGGCTACCCATTTTTTCAGCAACCACAAACCCCATATTCGACCCGATACCAAGACAGGTATGCAAAAAACTGGCACCACACAGACTGTTTCCATAGCCGACAGCAAATAGTCTAGTCTTACCCCAATTGTATAGTTTTCTAGACAGACCCTCCGACAGCTCGCCTAGTATTTTTGCAGATGCACAGTCGCGGGTTTGGGGTTGCAAAAGACGAATGGAGTCGTAGACTTATCTAGGCCCGTTTCCGTATTCCAACTGCCGGAAAGTAAGGTGCACGCCCGGATGAAAAAAAACCCCGCATGGTTCGTATACCCTACTACAATACTTTTTTCCGAATAGGCTGCATTCCAAACATTGACTTCTCAATAGTATGGAAAGTCGTTCTTTCCTGTTTAGTTTATGTAACTAGACATACTGATAGTACACTTATGGGATAGGATTGGGTTTCCATATAGACATATAGGAAGTATATATAGGAAAAATTTCAACATGCCTCCGAAAAAAGAACTGTCGCAAGACCAAGTCCAAGAAACACGTGCACTTCCAGGTGTGCTGTCGGCAGCCGAGACCAAAAAGCATTTCGTGAAATGACTAAACATTCACGAAATGACTAAGAAGTTTTTCCATTTCCCAGGCAGAAAGAATGGTGAAGAGAATCCGAGTTGAACTGAAGGCAGGACAGGTGGGTGACAATGTTGTTGTGCCCATCCCACTGGTGGACCGTGGAAGGGGAGATCCAACAGACAGAGTAGTAGACAGAGATGACAATGACATGTATTCGAAGACTGCAATCCTCAAGGGAAAATATTCCCGTTGCCAGTTCGATCTCTGTACCCAGAAGCTGCTGACAGAGACAGATGTGGACACAGAGTAACATGTTTCTCTGAGAGAATCTGTGACCCAGTCATCTATGTGTGATGGACAGGCGTTTGTGACGTCTGGCTGCTGTGGACAAAGCAAGTGTCAAAACAAACAAGTGTAAATGCTTCAAAGCCAAGCTGAAGTGCAATAGTCGCTGCAACAACAGTTTTAACTGTTCAACGAAGAAGTGGTTTGAAATTGTGATCCAAGTGATGTTCAAGTTATGGTCCCATTAGTTATATGTGACATAACATCTAATTTCGTGAATTATATGTCAATATAGCTTGTTATCAAAACTTTCTTGTCTGTTATTAGTCACTTGTATCTTCACAACATCATTTCATTCATTTCGTGAAATGACTAAACCTCTAAATCTGGAAATTTTAGTTATTTTGCAAAATGACTGATTTCACAATAAGTGGAGCTGACTGTAACATATATACTGAGAGTACACCATGTTCCAGTAAAAATATCAAATCTATATCATGTCCTTGGTATCTTTACAGATTAAAATATTTTATGCAGCAAAGAGAATTCGGGTGATCATAGCACAGTCAGACTGGTTAAGTTCGTCGTCATTTCGGGGTCATTTCCCCATTTACACGCAGCCCAGATAGTGAATGGGACTTCTCACAGGAAGAACTGCCTACGAGCGTGTCATGAGGGCTGTGCTACGGATGGAGAACCTGGCATTCTCCTGATCAGCAGCAAGAGATCAGGAGGTACCAAACAATGGCTAGTCGGACAACAATATGCTTGGCATGCAAGCGAGACATTTCAAAGGCGAGATACGCATATTTGCCATGTTTTTCCTGAATCTTGTCAATCACATTGCTGTCAAAAGGGACAGAAAAATCTGTGATATAAATAATTCTATGGCTTGTATAAAAAGGACTTGGATGTGTCCGAAGCTGTATATGGGGATATTCCCAAGAATTTTATCATTGTCATTTTCCATGACACACCCTACATAATCTGGTTTGTACTGTGGATGGACTTCAGAGTTAAAGCTACAAGCATGGCGAAGACGGTAATAAAAGGACCGAGCAACGTCATCATGTTGCATAAGATTCTGTGTCTGTGCCAATGCTTGGCATCCACTTAGAAGATGCTGGACGGTCTCATTAAATTCATTACACAATCAACATTTCATATTTACATTTTGAGGTAACATCACACGTTGACGGTTATGAGTGGGACGTGACTGGTCCTGAGCAACAAATAGAAAGTCTTCTGTTTCACTTTTCGGGTAAGCCAACTTCATCCACGCTGTTGCTCAGTCTTTTCTACGACGTACACTCGGTGCAGCGGTCGTTCAGCGAGTCTTCCCTTCAAACACTGAGCCTGTCCTTCACTTGGTTGACACTCATTTCTGTACCGTCCAGCAGTACAGAACCGTCAACAAAATCAATATTGACGTTGAAATTTTGTCCAACAGCCTTGGCTCTTATTAGATAGCTGTGGGATGCTTTGTTTTCATCAAGAGTTTTGATATGCTTCACAAGGATCATTAGACAAATAAATGTGTGCAAAAGTGCACAATAAAATTATGTAATGTATAAATGCGAAGAGTCTCCACGTTTATCGAACCACACCCTCCCTATTAGAGTTAATAAACATAAACGATATAGGGAAGAGAGAGGTTGGTAGGCTTTATTGTCTGACATTTTTCATCTTGTGGGGGTGTCAGTACTCTTGATTCGCCCAATCAACAATTCCAAAAGAATATGTGAGGACACATTCTCTTACCACAGAGGTTCGTAGGAAGATATGACAAGTAAGAGAATGTGGGAAGAGAATGGTGAGGACAGGGACAACATGAGTATTTGTGGCTTTGACTTTGTTACGAGCACTGAGCTCCGAACTGCATCTGTATTCAGCCTGAAGTGAGTGAGTTGAGATTTTAAGTCACACCAGTCTGAATATGATATTTTTTTAATTGTGATTTATTAATAATGTGTGTTTTCTAGTACAAGGCACAACGCGTTATTACCCCGGATTACCCATGCCGTCTGTTGGGCGCTAGAAGGTTAATAGTCAGACTTATCTTCTCTGGTACCAATTTTCTGCTGGGTGAACAGAGCAAGTTTGAACAAACTCACTTGCCTGAGGGGAGACCACATGTAACACATGTGCTTCGTTATGGGAACTGAAGTCCTGAAACTCTCAGGAGTCAAGCTGCCAAACACGGTCACCCATCCAAGTACTCTCCGTGCCCAACGTTGTTTAACATCAACTGATTTCAGATTTCAGATGAAGAGTATTGTATTTGTCGAATCCGAGGGACATATTGTCAATGTGATAAAAGCTTTACTGAAATAAATATTAGGTTCAGTTTTAACTGAAACCTGACAGATGGAGAAAATGATTGTCAAGCTGATAGCTGTCTATAAGTCAAATAGACATAATGACCTTTGTCTCTGCTTATAAGGCACTGTCTATCATAGCAAGAAATAAATTAAAATGGTATTTTATCGTGTATATTGATGTAGTTGTTTTCCAATTTCTCATTGTCATTGACCACGTTTGCTATCGCGACAAAAGATGTTCATACAAAAACATTTCTGACGATGTACGAAATAGCAAATACAGCAAAGTGTGCGATGTACACAGCATTTGGATTAGTGTCGGCAAATGACATAACCAGTTCTAATCGTACCCAGTGTGAACGTTTCGGAAGGTAGTAAAAAACCTGAACGATTCTTTTCAAGGAGTGACCACCTCCGTGGCGTAGTGGTTAGAGCGTCCGCCCGGAGAGCGGAAGGTCGCGGGTTCGATCCCCGGCCGCGTCATACCAAAAGACGTTAAAATATGGTACGTGTTGGTCCCTGCCTGGCGCTCGGCATTAATGGGTACAACAAGGACTGGTCGGCTCGGAGTCAGTATAATGTGTCTGAGTGGGGTATTCATGCTTCACTGCGGCATGGTATCTCAGTGGGCTAGCACTATAAAACCAGCTTCAGTCTGGACTAGTACAAGCAGCCGCACATACGCATACACACGCATGCACGTCGTCATATGAGCGAAATATTCTCAAGCACGACGTAAACCCAATTTCACCCCACCTCACCTTTTTAAGGAGTACTGCAGTGTTCACAGCGATTCATATACTGGACAACAACAGTTAGGGATATATGTAAATTTTGAAATTATGAATAATGATCTATTTATTCATTGACACTCTGATAAAATATCAATCATTAAAATACCAATATCCCTAGCTTATTTTGTCCAGTATATTAATGGTGAAACAACTGTGATTTGTCAGTCAACCTAAACTTGGTGACACAGATAGGAAAACTACTGAACAGGTCCCTTACTGACATGTTTAAAAATAGTATATTCCTGAATTGCACTTGTCGCATGGTGTTTAAAAACAGATACAGATACATATTATTGGTGAAAAGTCCTACCTGTTAAACAAGTCATCATCTTCACCTCCCCACATGAAGAACAAGTTAGAGTAGCCGTTGATGGTCGAGAAATATGTCTTGTTGAAAGTGACCACACCACCAAAGTGATTTCCGTACAATGTCCTGGAATTATATATGTGAGTAATGCTTAAAGCACTCCATGCGAGTAATCTAGTCACATGGCAGTATATCAGCTTGTAGTTGGGGTGAGTGACCTGACTTGGAATACTCAGTTCAGGTTCAGACAGTTAAACCGTGGCCTTATACATAAGATTACCCAACCACCGAAACACGTTAGATACAAGAACATTTTGCTTTTTCAATATTTGAAAGTTTCATTCTGGCTAGGCTCAAAATGTATCTGTCCTATCAATATAATGTATGAAAGATGAAATGCATCAAACACCAACGCATAAACATACCAATCAATCACGAAAGTACACTGTCACCATTACAATATTCGCTCATCTTAATTATCATTTCTGGCTTATCCTTGCAACCAAACGTTGCCTGCTGTATAATGGGCATATGTTCTCTATACTTAATAAAATCTGTCCGTCTGTAATGCTGTAATGTTTTCTCCGTGTAAAAACCTTGTAACAAATGTTATGTGTGATACCAACAACACTGGATGATAGTTATGACAACGAATGGTCGACCCCCCTGATCCTGTCTTGAAAGTGACAAGATGAACAGTGATCCTACAAAATTTTCCTGATTCAATTTAATTGGGCACTATATTTTTTGCAGAAAGGATGGCAAAGAGTTGACTACCTGTAATTCTTAAAGGCAAGTTTTTGAGAGTGATGCAAAGCCTTCTCCCCACAGAAGTAGGTATTCCGCTCACTCTCAGGCACCAAGTCGACATCATGGAAGGTGAAACAGTCAAAATGACACAGAGCCTTGGCTTCAAGGTAACCAATGTTTTTAATCATTCCTCTGTTAAAAGGAGTACCATTTTCCTGAAAATATAACACATATTTTTCGTTGCTTGTCAGTAGAGTACCTCATAACAACAACAAAAAGATCAGAATCATTCAGCTCTATTCCCCCGCCACATATTTCATTTCTAAATATCTTAAAACGGAAAATTGAGTAGTGGGATTCATTATGAAGTCGAACATTGTTTGTGGTATATGACAGTGGGTTAGCGAGCACATGTCGTTAGCTGTGAGGTTTGCAGTCAACTCACCTGCTCCACCACAAAAATGGCATACTCCGCTTGTTGCTTCTGAAGCACTCTGTGGAGGTTGTTGAGGAGGATCTTCAGGTTCACCTCTCTGTCTCTATATGGAATTATTATGGCAAGTCGCTGTGGGAAAGCACATCCGGCGGGCTGGTGGTATCCCCCAGGGGAAAGTGTTGCGGGTGCATTCAAGGTTCTCTCAAGATCAAGCCATGGAAGTGATTCGTTTATTATTCGTCGTGTCTCTCCTGAAGTATGAAAAGTATTGTAACATTCTTTGATCAGAGGTAGCCATGGCTCGTATCTTAACCCAAAATATTAGTGACCCAAATACATGAAGACTATCACACATCAGACAGATCTCGTACATTTGGAAATATAGATGTTTCAGAAATGATTATTGATCTAATATATATTTTAATTCATATAATGATATAGGCAATCTCACCCGAGTGTCCTTTGATATCAAATATATCACCACGAGTTGATAAAGTAACAAATATCCGAGGTTTGCCGGGGATAGTTTTACTTTTATCAACGAGTGTTGATATATTTGATATCAGAAGACACGAGGGTGAGATTCTATTTATCATAAGAAAAAACTCTTCATAGTTTTCAATGAAAAAATGTACATCTCTGAACACAGTACTGCCATTAGACTGCAATGCAGCGATGTCATAGCATTGTGACGTCATCGTACACGTGTTACACCTGCTATCAACCTGATAAATATAATCCTACACATGTTACACCTGCTATCAACCTGATAAATATAATCCTACACGGGTTACATCTGCCATCAACCTGATAAATATAATCCTACACATGTTACATCTGCTATCAACCTGATAAATATAATCCTACACATGTTACACCTGCTACCAACCTGATAAATATAATCCTACACGTGTTACACCTGCTACCAACCTGATAAATATAATCCTACACGTGTTACACCTGCTATCAACCTGATAAATATAATCCTACACGTGTTACACCTGCTACCAACCTGATAAATATAATCCTACACGTGTTACACCTGCTATCAACCTGATAAATATAATCCTACACATGTTACTACACCTACACGTGTTACACCTGCTACCAACCTGATAAATATAATCCTACATGTGTTACATCTGCTATCAACCTGATAAATATAATCCTACACGTGTTACATCTGCTATCAACCTGACAAAGAGGAATGCGATAATCCCGAAAATGTGGTTCCAGAAATGTCATCTACCTGAATCTTCTGTATATGTGTCAAGACAAATGTCGGCACATATTGGTAACACAGAAGCCCTTATGATCAGTACATATTACATTGTCTTTTGTAAGAAACGCCCGCGTTTCTGTGGTACCATCCTTTCTATTAAATGGAATAAGTGAATCCTGTTTGAAATGGATGATATAGCACAGTCAGCTAATTCAAGTATAAATAAACGATTTTTGTCCTGGTAAAGGAACAATTCAAAGATTCAATCAAAGATTCAATGCATGATGAAAAATAAAATTCCTTAGGATTGGGTGTGAAAAGATCTGACATACAAAATTCTGACATCTATAATACCACCGTTTTGTTATATGAATCCTAGTTCACAAGGATACCAAACTCTAGTGGTGAGGCAGAGCTTACGAGTATGACGCTATCATTTCATTCAGCTCATTTTCTGGGTAAAATGTGACGATAACAGCTTGTTACAAAGGATGGCAGAGGTGGGGTTATGATAATAAACAGTCATCGGGGTTACAAATGAGCTGACTCTTATGCCAGCTCTAACAGGGTTCACCACAATTCTCTTGGTATAATGGTGAATAATCATTCCAAGTTTGCACCTTTGAAAAGAAATTGAAATTAAAGTAAGAAACAAAAAGACAACTCACTAAGGTTGTTCTGCTGACATGGAAGAAGACTTTGAGAATGAACAGGGAAAACGCATGACTGCTCAGTTTCTCGTCTCAGGTCTCCCTCCGAAATACTTCTTTCCTTTCCAAAACGGTTGAAACATGCTTGTTCGTCGCCCCTTGTCTTGTGGCTGACAAAGTTGTGATTCTTTAAATGCTGGTAGTGGTATACAGCAAAAACCAGAAGGTTCATAAAACATACAACCAAAAGACCTTTGAATTGTCTCTTCATCATTGTCAACAATCTTCTCAATTTCAAGCCGCCCAACTTGTTGAAAGGTGTTCTCAAACAGCCTATACAGATGATATTTGACGTACGATTATTTATCGAGTTTCCGCATATCTACTCACAGCTACTGGTATTTTCTTGACACACATATGGTCGTCAGGATGGTGTTTCTCTGTTTGTAGTCGTCCTTTGTCTGTAACCAAACGTGTAAGTGCAAGAAGATGTTTAGTGCACAGGACCAATTACAGTAAATAGCATTTGTTTGAAACGTCTATGGGCCGGTGGTATGTATCTTTGCAAAAAACAGGTCTCAAAAGCTGCAGCCATGGCAAATGTGTGGCAGTTCAATCGAACAGAAGCAAACATTGAACTAAAACAGTAGGTTGTGAACGAACGAGGTCTGAGATCTTGCAAAGGTCTATTTCTGATCAGAACTGCCAAAGGGGTGGGGGTGGGGAGGTAATAAAAGCCAGTGTGGAGAGATGATATCAAAATCAATATTAGCAATATCAATATCTGAGTTCATGTGCAGGAACAATCTTGGGTTTCGTATAAAACAGTTCAGCTCAAAGTGGCTAAAACATTGGGAGTCATTAGTAGGATTCGAAGCATTGGAACTTAATTTAGTGATGTATTGAAGAGACAATATAATGTGGCGTTGTTTTATAGATGATTCATTTGCCTCCACAAAGAATTTATCAACAGGAGAAGTCCGAAAAGCATTAAGGCATAACATGAGTCCTTGGTGGTGTATTGTGTCCAGATTACTCTTGCAGGCTCCTGCAGAGGCAGTGGAACCATAGTCCAATTTAGAACGTATCAGCGACCTATACAAGTGGAGAAGTGTTGTTTAAAAAATATCCCAAAAGTTTGGCTTTGTTACAAATCTCAACTCGATTGCCATCTATAAACGGTCCTTTTGATGTTTAAATTTTCGACAAACATAGGAGAAAGTGTCCTGTTGTCTAAATATGATCAAAAATATTGGTGTCTGTGAGTGTGTGTGCGTGCGTGTGTGCGTGTGTGTGTGTGTGTGCGTGCGCACAACAAACACACTCACTCATAAGCATGTTGTCCCATGCCATTCCCCCTTTTGACTTGGACAGCATTTACGGGTGAATGTCGTTTCTGGTCAATGACTTGTCATTGAATGAGTGAATAAGTGAGCGAGTTTACATGTATCGGCAATATCTCAGCCATATCATGACTAACAATTTAAAAAATAGAGATGAATACATTTTGAAAATCTGTCGAGGATGGACAGTAAAACTACCAAAGTATCACAGATTGTAGGTATTAACTAATGAATAAGTGGGACAAATCTTTCCCATCCACTAGAGTTCAACAAGAGTATGAAAAAAGCAACGGAAATGGAAAATTGACAAGTATATCCAAAAAGACATTAAAACATTAAAAATGTGGCTATGTAGCCATTTGGCGTTACCGACACATTATCTTCTAAACTCATGTTCTTTATCTTCATAGCGAAATATATCCCATGTTAAAAAATTTATTAGGCGTGATATAACATCAACATTTATATGAAAACTGGGAAATATGGTTAATAGCGCCATTTCAAAATCTGCGTGAGTTGGAAGCAGCTTTTCACACAGAATGGCGATAGTTTCCTCTGCCACAGTACGCGGACTGATGGGGGCTATCCGACGTAGAGTACAGGCAGTTATCCAAGCACCAGCTGCAGGAGGGAACACTAAATGTTGATTGTCAGGGGTGGAAATAACCCATTGCCCGACGCCCAAGTCCAGTGTATTTTTCTGTCGGGCAAGCAAATTTGTATATCACACTGTACCGGTGTCCAGTTGATATTCCAATGTTAATTATGTTGTTTATTTTAAAAAATCAACAAGAAAACGGCCGGTATAGTGGAAAAATGATCAGGGCAAGTGATTTTACATGTGCCACTGTACCGGAGTACACTAGCAATTTTAAAGTTATTTCCACCCCTGATTGTGCATCAGTCCTAGGTTACAAATATACGTTTTTGTCTCATCACATACACGCCATGTAACCAAAAGGTGTTTGCATAGAATCAGTATGGGTAAAAGTTACTTGTAGAAATCATCATACCTTGATGATGAGAGTAATCGTTACTGGGATCTTATTGATATGTCAATTGGAAACGCATCTGATTTAGACATAGATATGGTAATTACGGGGGATTTTAATATTGATTATCTTAGTAATAAAAAACAGTGTCGCTTAAATGTTGTTTGGTTTAAACCAAAAGATATGTATTAGGTAAGATATGTATTAGGTAAGTATCGTCATTCAACATTCAACTACACAGACCAGAAGAGAAATAGAAGAAAACACTTACATCTCCTACACACAGTATTTCGCAATCAAAACAACTCACCACTTCCTAATTAACATTCACAACAACTCAGTGAAACCTGTTAATCCACATTCACAACAACTCAGTGAAACCTGTTAATCCACATTCACAACAACTCAGTGAAACCTGTTAATCCACTCACAACAATGAAAACAGTCGGGAAATTATGATGAGTAGACACATTTTGTCTGATCCGCCGACAATGTTTACCTGTACAAACACTTATGGTATATAAATCTCAAGAAGGTAAGAAGAAATCATTCAGCATCAACCATGGCTCTAGTTGTACAAAATCACCGTCTATGAACCAGTCTGGGCTACGAATCCACCGGGTCTACGAACTGGTTCAGTCTACGAAATCACCGTTGTGAGACTCCCAGTTATGAGACAGTGGAGAAGGAGAAGAAAACACACCATACTCCCCTGTCTGATAGAATGGATTCACCCTAGCTAATTCCTGATTTGCTATGTAACTGAATCTTGTGGAGGCTACTTAATGAAACTTTATAAGATAAATTGATTAACATACTCATGTAAATGTCTTTAATAATTAAACACTTTGTGTAGGTAACTTCGTGATCAAAGAGAAATTAATTTACCTACTCAGATTTACTCCGTCTCCGAAACTACAAGCTATAGTTTAAGAAATAACTCTGAAATACAAGAAATTTCCAGTCGAACTGCCTCTCATGCCAAACCCTTTCTACCTGACACAATAAATTTATAGAATGCCCTGCCAAATTCCAAAGAGTCATGCAGTCTCAAAGAAGTTTAAAACCTAATTACAAAAACCGAAAAAAGATTTATATTGATCTTAATTATGGCTCTTGTTTTTGTCAAATCGTTCACTGCCGCCTCAGGCTCGGATCTAGCGACCCAATCGCCAATAAGTATAACAGATATTTAATAGACAGTGCACGTTGCTCTTGTGGATATCAACTACCCGTTATAACCTGGATAATATTTTGAACGGAAACAAAGAATTTACTCCTTGTGTAAACCAGAATATATTTGAATCCGTCCACGGTTATATCATCAAGACACAGCGCTTCAAATTTTCTCAGGGAAATGCTTAAATTAACTCAACAACTTTCTCGTGATTGATTTATATTCCTAAAATAGCTTGTTAGACACACACAACTGTAAGTCTCTAATTATGACTACTTAGAGAATAGTTGCATTTGATGTAATCTGTATATATTTATATGTATTTAAAAATATACTTATGCAATAGTCAATATCGATGACGTCACATCCTCCATTTCGTTTTATATTTTATGTTGCATGGGAGCATGTGTTAACATGAGCAGTAATACTTCACCAATCCCAATTCATTTTCATAAATAATAATAAAATATGTTCAAACTAAAATTACTTTCAAACTTCATAGTAGTCAATAAATATGTGTTATTCTTCTGAATCAATAAAATATTTATTGAACTATTTCTTCTGTGTAAATGTAATCTTTGAAAATCTATTTCATTAGTCAACTCATCAATGGACTATGCCTCCTGTGGGTACTGGGCTGGGCTGGGCTGATCCCACTTTCATTGTAGGTATTTGGAAACACCACCTATGTGCACTGAACCATTAATTAATGTGTCTCACAACTGGGAGTTCTCACAAATGGGAGGACACCGAACAAGGTTACCATCAGGAAGAATATATTCTTCTGACAAGCTGTTTAGATCTATAGTCTGTTTGCTGTGAAAACGTATCGATGAATTTCACTCTAAACAAAACGTTGTTTAAATGGATAAAAGTTGTTTAACAAACGACCATAGTTTCAAATCGCTATTATGGGCCTACCTTTAGAATACAGCACCAAAAAAGTTATAAATACGTCTAGCTCTGCGAGTGCGTATAAGCTCCGCTCACTGGTGGTTCATCTCTTCAAGCTACTTCAAGCTACTGTAAACGTAGTATATTTCGCGCAGGTTTTATTTTCGCGCTTTTCGCGCAAAACATTTTAGCGCGAAAATTTATACACCGCGAATAAACCATAACACATGAAGACAGAAATCTACGGGAATCTTAAAATGACGACTGATAGTAGCATAAACAATCATACTTAACTGTCGCTGTAATGGATTTCCCAAAACATAATTAAATAATTGGTCACATGACAGATGGTTTGATACAAAACAGATTACCATGAAACGACTCGGAAAGAAATAATACAGCAGTATTTTATTTATTCATTTAGATACAAACGTATCATCATGAAGCGAATAGTCACTTAACACTCAATCATCTCATTCACAACAACCCGGCTTGTTTGAAATCACAAAAAGCTTCATATACAGTATAAGTTAATTCGTCAGATCGTCAGAATTCGGAACATAAGACTGATGTGTTTTTCATCTCTTCCGGGAGTAAACGGGTTACTGTGTACTAGTATATCGCACAGATAGGGATTTCCTGTGAGTATGCAATAAACGCCGCCTGACAGATTAGCCACTCTGTTTGTTTTCATTGCTATTAGTGGCGGCCAAAGAGACAGCTGGCAGTTCCGGCAATTACTGATTGCGCGAATAATTGACCGCGCGAAGTAGTCTAAACTGTCAATTCCGCGAAAATTGCACCACGCGAAAATAAGTACGTTTACATGTCATTGAATAAGCCCAACGATGTTGAGAGTTTCCAGTAGTTGTATACCTGCGGATGAGCAATTTTGTGCAAGCACCAGTTTGAAATATTTTTCTTGTTTCACTATTAATACGCTCATTTATTTGTATTACGGGGTGCTGAGGTGTTATGTTTTGTGTATTATTGTATTTTGTATGCGTTACATCGGTCTATATTATATATATTCGATTATTCGCAATTTTGGTCGC